CCAGTTGCAGAACGAGTCAGACACACAAAATGGGATAGAGGGAAAAGCCATGAGCCTTGGGGCAGCACGTAGATGAATAGAAATGGATTAAATTGTAAGGGTTAGTAACAAGCCTGAATCATCGGCTGAGCATTTATAATTAATGTAAGTCTCAGGGTGTTTATTTGGGAGCTGCTGGCAGGACAGAAACTTCTACACTGTGCCCAACACTCATCAATCTATTTTATAAACAAGAAAATTAAGGTGCCAATATCTTATTTTGTGATGTTGGGAATCAAACCCAGGGCCTGCTACATGTTAAACATGTGCTCTACCACTAAGCTATCTCTTGAGCCCAGATAGGCATTTTATTTTTGTGTTGATGGAATCCAAACTAGGGCTTTGCATGCTAGGCAAGTGTTTTTTCCGAGTTCCACCCCAAACCCAGGTGGGGATTTTAAATAATTTCCAGGCAGGCATTATTCTATCCTTTTGGAGTTGCTTAGCCATTGGTCCTGTAAGTGGGTGATAAGAGGCCAAATGGCATCACTGTACCATCAGTAGGAAATGATGCTTAGCTGTTTACCCACAAGGCTGCGAGTCTGTGGAAGACAGGAATGTGTCTTATACAGCATTACTGCCTCTCACTGTGCCTAAAACATAACAAATGTACTATTTTGGGAAAGCTTTGGAATCTTGAGTCATAGTGGATGTTATTTTGGATAACAATTTTGCTATTTGTATGCTTCATAACATAAGTGCCTTAAGTATTTATGACTTTGTTTGGCTTTTCCAGCACGAATATAATCACCAGTTCTGGACTAACCATACAGCAGTCATCAGGGACAAACACATCTCATTTAATCTAAAACTCCGTGGGTATTAGAATTAGCTTGTAGCTGATGAAACAGATTCAGAGAGATTGATTCACCCGAGTTTGCACAGCTAGTAAGTATTAGTGTTAAATTTTAATGCCAGTCAGTCTGGCCTCAGATCCAATGGCTTTAACCACTTAAAAGCTTAAGCACTCAAAAATGTCTATATATCACCTGTCACCTTCTAGAAAACCACAAAGAAAGGTCAACCTCCAGTCATGGTAGGTGATTGACTTCTAAAGGCATGCTGCAATGAGATTCAATATTTGGTATTTTGAACTTGAGCTCTCCCCGCCCCCCCCCCATAGTTCTGGCTGTCCTGGAACTTGATATATAGACAAGACTGGCCTTGAGTTCACATAGATCCACCTGCCTCTGCTTCCCAAGTGCTTGGATTAAAAGCCTATACCACTAGGCCCAGCAATGTTTGTTTCATTGTTGTGTCTTTAATGTAAATTCCAAAAGGAGAATTTTGTTTGTTTTGAACAAAATAGCTACAACATCAGTACTTAAAACAGGTAGTAAGTAAAAACTGAAAAGATTGTATTAATGAATGAATAGAGAAGGTATGTTATACCACCTGCTCATAAACTTTCTGCTTCTTTTAATATTACATACCTAATTCTGCTATGGAACACAACACTCTGTTTGATTTTAACAGCTGCCAATAAAAATGCACCGAAATCCATCCTGTTGGGAAGTGAGCAATAAGTGCTGCATCAGCTCTGCCCAAATGTGATTTCACTGAGGCCAACATGAGTACATCAGCTTTCCTCATATTTGGAAGGTTTTGACTTTTGAAACATGGTATAAATTGTAGATAGATTTCAGGATTCTAAGTCACAACTTAGAAACCAATGTCTACCAAGGGAAAGCATGTCTGATAGTGGTTTTCCCAGGACAGCCAGGGCTACACAGAGAAACCCTGTTCCAAAAAAACCAAGGGGAAGTGCTGGAGAGATGGCTCAGTGGTTATGAGCACTGCCTGCTTTTCCAAAGGTCCTGAGTTCAATTCTCAGCAACCACATGGTGGCTCACAACCATCTGTAATGACATCTGGTGTCCTTTTCTGGCCTGCAGGTGTACATACAGAGAGAATACTGTATGCATAATAAATAAATAAATCTTTAAAAAAACCAAGGGGAACAAAAAGTAAACCACGAAGAAGGCACTGGTAGAAATGTAGTATAGGAGTTAGCAAGATGGCTTGGTAGTTAAAAGCACTTACTCTGTCTGCTTGGCAACTCAACTTTGATCCCCAAACCCACATTAAAAAAAGCTATAGTGGCTTTCTCAGCATTCCTACAGCAAGAGGAGAGTTAAGCTAGGGCAGTCTTCTGGAAGCTTTCAGAGGCAGTGAGCTCCAGAAAGGAGAGACCCTGCCTCAGAAACAAGGTGGAGGCTGGAAAGATGGCTCAGCAGTTAGAGAGCATGCTGTTCTTGCAGAGGACCCAAGTTTGGTTCCCAGCACCCATGTCAGGTGGCTTACAAACACCTACAACTCCAACTCCAGGGTACCTGTTGGAGGAGGCTGCTTGTTGGTTCCCAGCTGCCCAGCCCCGAAAATAATCACACAGAAACTGTATTAATTAGATCACTGCTTGGCCCATTAGCTCTAGCTTCTTATTGGCTCTTACATATTAATTTAACCCATTTCTCTTAATCTATGTATTACCATAAGACTGTGGCTTACCAGGAAAAGTTCCCGTGTCTATCTCTAGCAGGGCTACATGGCTTCTCTTTGACTCTGCTTCCTTTCTCCCAGCATTCAGTTCTGTCTTCTCTGCCTACCTAAGTTCTGTCCTATCAACAGGCCAAGGCAGTTTCTTTATTCACGAATGGTATTCACAGCATACAGAGGGGAATCCCACATCAGGTACCCAATACCTCTGGCCTCTATGGGCCCTCACACTCATGTGCACATACAGGCATATAATAATTACAAACAAATCTTAATGTAGGAGAATCAACTTCTGAAAAGTTGTCATCTGACTTACATGTGCACTGTAGCACATGTGTGCCTACAATTACACACATACACGATCATTAAAAGAAGACAGCTTAGGAAACGTAAATGGAGAATGATAGCATGTGTGGATAATTTTATATTCTTTCACAATAATGCTTGCAATTTTGACCCAGTTATTGACCTCTGGCTCTTCTATGCGACATGTAACATAATGGATTTGTGTCATGTCCTGTAGGTCCTGTCTTCTGAACTAATCTCTTCCCCTGATGCTTGCTTCTGCTTTCTTGCTGGCCCAGGTTGGCCTATGCTGTGTGACTTTTTTCTTGGGAGATGGAAAGAAAGGCCTATTCATCCTGGGGGGAGGGGCGCTGACAGACCAAGGAAAGAATTCCATCCAAGTCCAGCTTGGTGAACCATTGAGTTTATTGGGGCTACTTATAGGTGCATGGGTGACTGACTCAAAGGCAGTTACATCACCAGGAAGTCTCTTGGGCAATTTACGGGCAACTATACAAATTAAGAGTCTCATCTGCAGCATGGATGACTCACTAAGACCTGCACCATTGAGGAGCTCCTTGGGCCACTTACGGGCAGCTACAGTAAAGGAAGAGTCCCTCTTTCCAGTCAACTTTCCATCTCCTGTACAGCCTGGGGAGCAGTGGGGTCTCTGAGGAGCTCATGAAGGCTCCTGAATATGGACCTCCCCGTCATGAGGGGATATTAATAGGCTTGGTCCCATGAGTTTCCTGTGGGTGATCACAGCTGCTGATTCAGGACAGCAATGGTCATGTCTGTCTTAGAAGAAACAACTACACAGCAGCCTAGAAGGCCTAATCTGGGTTTCAATCTTAAAGCTGGAAGGGAACATCCCAGTCTTGAGAGTTGGGGTGTGTGTGGGATCAAAAAGTGCAGGGCTAAAGAACTGTAAACAGGACTTCTTTAGGTAGGCTAAGGCAGACGTCATCACCTCTGGCTTAATTACATAGAAAGTGAAAATAGCCAAAAGGCTTGGCAGGGTCTAGAGGTAATTGGAGAGAAGTTCTGGGTAGGCAGAAGGAAGAAAGTAGAAATATTTGCTGAACAAAAGGCAATGGTGAGGACAGGTAGTGGTGGCTGGGGAGAAGATGGACATCTACCTCCATCTGTTAGGATTTGTTAGAACTCAGAAAACAGTATTCTTCAATTGCGTCAGATTGTATTTTCCTTCCTTCCTTCCTTTCTTTCTGAGACGGGTTCTGCGTGTAACAGCTCTGGCTGTCCAGAAACTTGCTTTGTAGACCAGGCTGGTCTTGAACTCACAGAGATCCAGCTGCAGCTACCTCCCGAGTGCTAGGATTACAGGCCACCACTGCCGGGCATAGGCAAATTGTATTTTCACAATCACAAGTCAAGCATGAATTAAAGCATTAAGCATTTTCCAACAAGTTCGTTTTACAAAGCAACTTTGAAACAAGGTCCTATAAGCCTAAAGTTCATAAAAGGTGGGTCATGGCTTAGAACTGAGAAACTCTAGCAGACTTTCTAGCTTTTTGAAAAGAATTCATTCTGTAGTCCTGGCAGGTACTTCATCCACCTCCCCTGATCTCCTGAGATCTGAGATTACCAGTGTGCCACACGGAGACTAATTTAGTAAAGTCTTATTTCAGTATTGGTGATGATTCACTAAAGACTTGTCGAGGACAGGAACTGGGGGTGATGATGATACTGATAGTAATGAAGTCACGATGGTCTGTCCTTGTGAAGTCAAAATCATCAGACTCACGTCATCCCAGGTTGTGGCTTTCTTACACCACCTGTAGTCCTGGACAGCGAGGAACACCAGATCCCATCACACTGGCCGGGTGAGGGCTCCCGGCGGGAACCGGGAGCCGAAGCCCGGCCCTGGTTTCCGCCTTAGGGCCCCCGTAGGGTCTCCTGAGAGCCCTGCTCATGCCCCTCCATTTACAAGGCCTGCTGGGAGTTGTAGTTCAGCGGTAAGACGACCCGCTCGGCCCCGCCCCCTGCCCCGTTTCCTCGTCGCCCCATAAGAGGGCGAAGACTCGGGACAGCGGGGCCGGGCCCAGAGAACTCCGGACTACAATTCCCGATGGACCCCAGATTCCAGTACGCTGTCACAGGTACCCGCGTCGTGATCCGCGCACGGACGCATGCGCACCGAACTGTGGCGGGACTCGGCCGCGTGCGCTTTCCCGCCCTCGCCACGCCCTGCGCCGTCCGTCGGGCTTTTCTCCCCCAGCTGTAGGCTCTCGCTCCTCCCTCTCGGTCGCTCCCGGAGTCCAGGCCCCGCCTGTTTCTCTCCCCCAGGGCTTCCTCCGTCCGCTCGTCCTTGCGCCTCTGCTACTTCTGCTGAAGGCGGAGGCTCCATGTTGTCCCCTCAGCGAACGGCAGCGGCGGCGTCGAGAGGAGCAGGTGAGGCGTCCACTTTTCCCTGGACCCGCTCCGTGATCACCCACGCCGCCTCCCAGTGCTCCGGCTCCGAGGTGACAACCCGTCCCTGCCGCCGCCTTTTCTCGTGCGGCGATGGGGGCTGCTCCGCGGGGTGCCTCAGTTCCGAGTTCGGGGCGCGGGGGCTCCTGGAACGGGCGGGGGCCTCACGCGGGCCACCCGGTGCTCTGACCCGTCGAGCTCCGCCCTGTGCACGGCAGGGCGTGCCGGGCGGCGGTGCTCGCCGGTGCCGGGAAGCCTGAGCCCGGAGCCTGTCAGTCTTAACGGGCGGGGATCGGCGCCACGGTGGATGCTTTATTGTTCAGTCCTAAAGTTTTGGACTGCTGCGGTGTGGCCTTGGAATTGAAACGTGTACCCCCCCCCCCCCCCCCCCCCCCCCCCCCCCCCCCCCCCCCCCCCCCCCCCCCCCCCCCCCCCCGCGGAACGACCTTGAGGCGCTGACGAGCAATAGTAAAGTTCGTTTTCCACCCGCGCTAATCTCCACGTTAGGAGATAAAAGAACTGGCCTAAATTGGTTGTTTTGTTTTGCAAGTTTTTTGAGTTAAGTTTGGGTTTTCCTTTGGCTTTTCCGAAGACATAAAACGAGGTAGTAAAAGTACTCAATGAAAGCCAGATAGTCCCACCAAAACTATAGGGATGCGATTTCGCCTGTCACTTTGCCTGGCACTATTCTTGTTTGATGGGTACACTCCTGAAATGATTGCAAGTTTCAGTTGCGAAATCTAAGAGGGGGGGGATGTGTGTGGCGAGAGTCAATAGTTGTGTTTGCAGATTCTTTTAGCAAATCTCTTGTCTTCAAATTTGAACATGAAGTGGAATGTTTTGTGAAAGGTGAAGGAAAACTAACGGACTAAAAACGAAGTGGTTTGAAGTTTTGCTTTGGAGAAGTAGACTTCAAAACTCTGGACTTGTTATCAGTGCCAGGTATTTAGCCTCCATACAAAGCGGAAAGTCAATTTTTGTACGGCTTTAACATGAGTGAAAGAACGTTTTATTTGCAGTGGTTAGAACAATAAGAAAAACAGAGGCAGGTGTAATTGTGTGCCAGAGTTAATTTTAGTGTTTAGTTAATAAGGTCTATTTTGTTTTGTGACACTAGGGATTGAACTCAGGTCCTTGCACTTTTGTGTTGTTTGTGTTTTAATCCTAGTTCCTAGTGCTGTTCAAAATGGGGTTTTAAAAATTGTTGGTTTTTTGAGTTGGCATAATCCGTGCCTGTAAACCTAGCCCTTGAGAGCTGGAGGCTGACTGTGAGGAGTCAGGATCATGCTGGGCTACGAAGTGAATTGAATTTGAAGGTCAGTCTGGGTTACATGAGACCTTTCCTCAAACTTCCAACCCCCCCCAAAAAAAATAAAAATAATAAAAAAATGGTTTTCTAAATAAAAATTATAATTACTAATTAAAACAAAATAATGGAGCTGATCCTGATGGTACATACCTATGATTTAACACTCTGGAGGTTGAGGCAGGAGAATTTCGAGTTGGAGGTTTTGTCTCAATCAATCAAACAAATAATAGAGAATAATATGACAGAAATATGATGTTCAGCCCTGCCTGGGACCCATTCTGCTTGTACAAGGAGAGAGCTGATTCTACACGCTGTTCTCTGACCTCCATATATGCACTGTACATGTGAACACACATTAAATAAATAAATGAAATAATAAAAAAGAATTTAGCCATAATAATCAGCATGTCTGTTAATCTTTTGTCTGTTATTTTGAGACAGTACCTCATGTAACCAGTTGAGGCTGACCTTAAATTTTCTTTTTTTTTTTTTTTTGAGATAGTTTCTCTGTGTAACAACTCTGGCTGTCCTGGAACTCGCTTTGTAGACCAGGGTGGCCTCAAACTCACAGAGATCTGCCTGCTTCTGCCTCCTTGCTGGGAATCAAGGCATGTGCCGCTACCGCCTGGCAGCCGACCTTAAACTTTTGATGTGCTTCTACCTCATGTGATTGCAGACATGTCCCATTGCACCAGATGGTGTTAAAAGTTCTTTATGGTCTCGTGTTCAGAAGTGGTAACAACTGCAATTTAATTTGAATTTTAACTGGTGGTGGCGGATCTCTGTGAATTTGAGGCCAGCCTGGTCTACAAGAGCTATTTCCAGGACAGGCTCCAAAACCACAAAGAAACCCTGTCTCGAAAAACCAAAACAAACAAACAAACAAAAAAACCAAAAAAAAAAAAAAACCCCAAAAAACAAATTTCAGTTGTTTTAGAATTGTGGCCTAGAGACTTAAAGCCTGCATATATATGCTTGGGTTAAATGAGTAGATTAAAAAAGCGTTTGAGGCCAGCCTGATCTACAGATCAAGTTCCAGGCCAGCCAGGGCTACACAGAGAAACTCTGTCTCTCAAAAAACCAAAATCAAAAATAAAAGGCAGAGGAAAACAACAAAAAGACCAAACCAAACTAAAACAAAACAAGAAACATTATTTAACTATATTTTGATACTAATTAAAACCTTCAGGTTAGATTTCCTGTGTTTGGGAAAGAGGCAAGTATAATCACTATTGAATTAATCCTGTTAAGAAAGTTGTTTTTTCCCCTGGAGCTAAAGAGATGATGGCTTAGTAGCTAAGAGGAATTACCGCTTTTGCAGAGGACACATTTGGTTCCCAGCACCACGTCCAGTCTGTACTCTTCACAACTGTTTGTACATTTTCCTTCAGGGCTTTGATCAATCACCACCTTCTTGTCTCCCTGGGTTCCTGCATGGATGTTCTGCCCATAAACTTGGGAAGGCACACATATATGCACATAAAACATTCTTAGCTGGGGTTTTTTGAGAAAGATTTTTTTTTGTTTTTTATTTTATTTTATTTTTTTGTAACAGCCCAGGCTGTCCTGGAACTTGCTTTGTAGTCCAGGCTGGTCTCAAACTCAGAGATCTGCCTGCATCTGCCTCCCAACTGCTGTGATTAAAGGTGTGTACCACCTCCTGACTACCTGAATCTTTTTTTTAAATTAAAAATGATTATTATTATTGCATGTGTGTGCATGATGGATGTGTATGGGTGTTTCTGCCATGGCCTCTGTGTGGACGTCAGAGGACAACTTTGTACATTTAGTTCTCTTCTGGGTTCCCGTGATGGAACTCAGGTCAGCAGACTTTTGAAGAATCAGCTTTACGTGCTGAGCCCTGTTGGCAGCCTAGTTTCTGAATCCTAAATACTGGTTAGTTGTCATAAATCCATGTAACACTGACTTTCCTGTCCATAGATAAAATAGTTTTGTTTAGCATCTTGTGCTGAAAGCACAAATATTATCTATAGTGAATGAATTGGAAAAAAATTTCCTCCTAAACCCTTTAATTAGAATATACATTTCCCCCAGTATTCTTCTTGGTTGATGTCTTAGTCAGGGTTTCTTTTGCTGCAACAAGACGCCTTGACCAAAGAACAAGCTGGGGAGGAAAGAGTTTATTTTACTTACACTTCAGCATTGCTGTCCATCACTGAAGGATCCTGGAGGTAGGAGCTGATGCACAGAGCATGGGGGGGGGGGGTTGCTTACTGGTTTGTCAGCTTGCTTTCTTATAGAATCCAGGACCACCAGCCCAGGGTGGCACTTCCCCATTGATCACTAATTGAGAAAATGCCTTACAGCTGGACCTTCTGGCGGTATTTCCTCAACTGAGACTCCTTCCCTAGCTTGTGCCAAGTTGACACACAACCAGCCAGCACAGTTGGGTGTGAGTAGTTTCACACAACCTTTTCTGTGTATCTGCTGGTACATTTACCACCTTAAGTTATAGTGCGCGGTAGAAGCACTGAAAGAACTACGTCAAGTAGTTACAGAGTTAGGAGAGGGCTTTAAACTTAGCATACTTCCCTTGTCTGTGATGTTTTCTCTGCTTTGTGAGTCAGGAACTCTAAGGACTGCCAGCAAAGGCAAGGCGTGGAAATGGTATGCCTCCTTCAGTGTGTTGCTCTTCCCTTTAGAGAATGTTATTCCAGAAGAGGACTGGAAAACTCAGGTCATAACTCTACCATGAGTCATATAATCTGCTCAGTAAAATGTGTCTATAACTTTGGTTCCTGTGCTTTTCAGAAGTCTCTGTACAGTGAGGATGAGGACTGAGGATGGTTCTAGTCCAGTAGTTCTTTTATTTTCAGTTGTTTATTTTTTTCTTAAAAATTTATTTATTATGTATACAGTATTCTGTCTGCAGGCCAGAAGAAACAACCTCATTGAATTACAGATGGCTATGAGCCACCATATGGTTGCTGGGAATTGAACTCAGGACCTCTGGAAGAACAGCCAGTGCTCTTAACCTCTGAGCCATCTCTCCAGCCCTGTTTATTTACTTTTAAGTTTTTTTCTTCTTAAGATTTTGCCTGTATGTATGCATGTGCACCATGTGCATGCCTGGTGCCTGCAGAAATGAGAAGAATGTGGGATTCCCCTCTGTATGCTGTAAATATCATTGGTTAATAAAGGAACTGCTTTGGGCCTATAGCAGAAGTATAGGGGAACAGAGCTAAGCACGGGGTGGGGGGGAGGCGGCGACAGAGGAGGAATTAGGGAGAAGCCATGTAAGCCACAGCCACATTGATACAGATTAATAGAAATGGGTTAAATTAATATGTAAGAGTTAGCCAATAAGAAGTTAGAGCTAATGGGACAAACAGCGACTTAAATAATACAGTTTCTATGTGATTATTTTGGGGGCTAAGTGGCTGTGAACTATCTAGCGGTTTCCCTACAACAGAAGAAGGAATTAGATACCCTGGAAATAGAGTTATTGACAGTTGTGAGCTACTGTATGGGTCCTGGGAGCCAAACCACTGTCTTCTGCAAGATCAAAAAGGGTCTTTTTTGTTTTGTGTTATTTTTGTTTTTCAAGACAGGGTTTCTCTGTAACTTTGGAGCCTGTTCTGGAACTCAGTCTAGACCCGACTGGCCTCAAACTCAACAGAAATCTACCTGCCTCTGCCTCCCAGTTGCTGGG